TTTGTTCCACATTGTTCTCCCTCTCTATCCAGGATCTCCTACATAGATCCCCCTCTGAGTGGTTGACAGTGGTAGCCAGGCACCATCTAGTTCTTTGGGTCTTATAGTCATATAGGCTGTGGATTGCATGGTCTACCAGTTGCTAGGACTAATTCTTTTCTATGGACTAGTTTTTAAGACCCCCGATGCTACTCACCAAACTAGGGTGTAGAGCATTACCTTTATAAAGATGAATTATATTATGCCAGATGACTAAATTGTCCCAAGAGTTTGGTCTTAAGACTTCTAACCCAGTAAACCAATCCCACGAGATACCTGGATATGTCTAGGAAGTTTCTATAGATAGATAGATATGACCATATGCTTTATTATATATGGATATATACGTAGCATGTATATGGCTACAGATACATCTGTACATGCATATGCATGCTCTCACATAATGCCTTCCCATATACATGCATCCATACCTACCTATGTAACCACACACATTTTGTTGTTGTTATTACAGTTGTGGCCAAATTATATGTTACAGCATTTATTGTCCCTTTTTCTTGTGTACTTCTTAGTGTCTTCATTTACCTTGATCAGGTTGTGCAGACTTCACCCATATTTGTTATTGCCTTTCCCATCACCAAAAATAACAAGTGACTACTGTCTAGAGAGTAATTTCCTCTCTTTACCTTCCCATACCTGGTGTTGATCGAAGATCGTTGTTTTCTGTGTATGTATCTATTGACTTTTTATAAGAGTGAGAGCATATAATATTTGTCCTTTTGTGATTGATTGATTTCACTCAGCAAAATGTCCTCCACATTCATCCATTCTAAGATGTTATATGGACTCCTCATTATTCTTTACAGATGTGTAGTATTCTGTTGTGTATATGTACCATAGTTTGGTTATCCATTCTTTTCTTGATAGACACTTAGGTTGTTTCCATCTTTTTGCTATTGTGAATAGTGCTGCAATGAATGTATACCCAGGAGTGGAATTGCTGGACCATAAAGTATTTCTACTTCTAGCTTTTTGAGGAAGCACCATTGTAAAATGGTACAAATGTTTTCCATAGTGGTTGTACCATTTTACAACCCTATCAGCAATGTGTGAGAATTCTAATCTCCCCACAACCTAGCCAGCATTTGTTGTTTTCTGTTTATTTAATCAGTGCCATTTTTGCAGGGGTGAGATGGCATCTCAATTTTTATCTAATGGGAGCTCTGGTGGTATAGTGCCTGAGGTACTTGACTGCTAACTAGAAGGTTGGCGGTTCAAACCCATCAGCTACTCCTTGGAAGAAGATTGGGCAATATACTTCCTTAGAGATACTGCCTTGTAAACCCAAGGAGGGGTTGCTGTGAGTCGGAGACAACTTGATGTCATGTAACAACAACAATGCCTAATGATCACCAATGTCTTTTTGTGTATTTTTTGGCTGCCTGAATGTCTTTGGTGAAGTGTCTGTTCATGTCCTTTGTTCATTTTTTGATTGGATTGTTTATTTTTGTGTTGTTGAGTTGTTGAAATTTGCTATATATTCTAGAAACTAGACCTTTGTCGGGTAATGTTGTTGCCAACGATTTTTTCCCAATCTGAAGGTTTTCTATTTTACTCTTTTGATAAAATCTTTTGATGAACATAAGTATTTAATTGCCTTCTGTTGTTTGTGGATTTTTACTTATGTTTGATAGGCTATTTATGCAAAACACTAGTCCCCTAGTTTTGTCCCTATATTATGTTCCAGGAACTTTATAGTATTAGCTTTAACGTTTAGGTCTTTGCATCAAGCTCAATTGGCATAACATACTATACAAAACATTGTTCCACCTCCTACTTTGGACTGGGATCTTAAAAGCTAGCAAGCTGCCATCTAGATGCAACGATGGGTCTCTCCTCATCAAGAAGAAAGAAGAAAACCAAAATTAATGGAAA